ATCATCATTTGCTAGGCTTGTGCTACTACCAAGCATTGTGTCATTTAGTCTGCAGAGGAGGTGATTGGCTGCAATCTTCAACCTCTCCAGGATCTGTGTACGCCACCAGGACTCTGAGGTGTGCAGGGAAGATTGTGGCCTATCCCTCGTACCCAGCTGCAAACTATTTTAGACACTTCCCTCTGGAGGCTGTGATCCATCAGTACCAAAACCTCAGGCCACAAGAACATGTTCTTTCCATCCGCTACCAGCCTTATCAGCAAGCAGAGGAACCCTGTGACACTGCCTCTCTCCCTCCCCCATTCAGGATCTAGAAGATACACCAACATAGCATCTCCAGACCTCCTGCATTACATTAAGGCACAGCCTACTGTGTATATAGTATATAGCTATGTAATATATATTGTATATAATACATTGCATGTTTTATGTTGGATATAGCTATAAATCTGGTATTCTGTATATATATATCTAATTTGTCTGCACCATGAACACCAAGTCAAAATTCCTTGTAAGTGCAAACCTACTTGGCAATAAACTTACTTGCTTGTGTGGTTCTAGTTTTTATTTTTTTATTTTTTTATTGACAATACCAGACAAGAAATTGGGCATAAGAGAAGGAAGAAAGACATGCAGGAAAATTTCCAGTTATGAAATTAAACTCAGATACCTGGACTGAGACTTATGGTCTCATAATGGGAGTCCTATGCTGCCTGAAATAAAAAGGATCAAGTTTTTTTAGACGGTCACAGGAATTAGGAATCTGGCTGAGTTGAAAATTGATGCTCATAAGCACTCAAATAGCGTTTTTACTGTGCTTAGACTATTTTTGTGAGAGAGAAAAAATGCAGAGATGAACCATAAAACACCTAAAGATGTAATTGCATTGAAAATGTAATGTAGAAAGAAATAACTTAGGATTTTTATTTGTTAATATTGTTTTATAATCCTATATCGAATTTCTTCCATTTTAAAGTTATTTAATATTCTGTGTAGGTTTACTGACTACAATCGTATCTTTAAAAGCTATATTTGTTTTGAGACAGAGCATATGACTGCAGTTAGTGTCATGATCGGTTTAATGAGCTAAACCCATATGCAGAACACCAACGATTGAAGGTCATCAGAAGAGATGTCTTAGTTAAAAGTTTGTTTGTAGAACATGTTTTTAAAATCTAACTATTGAATTTTCATTTGCATCAATGTACTTTTTTGTACATTTTTTATAAAGTGTGACTCAAGAGATGCTTGAAATATTTACACAAATAAATCAGACATCCTATATTTCCGAAAATTGCTAATGTAAAGCAAATATGAGGAAATGTTAAGATCTTGAGGACTAACTTTTTTTGAATTAGCTGTTCAGACAGCAGAGAGTGAATCTGATGTATGAAAATTTCCTGGATTTTCATCTTTCTTCTGTAAGGTACATGATAGTCACAGGACATGGCACCTGGCACTTTGAGGAACAGCAGTAATCCATCCACTAATAGGAATGAAAATAGATTCATAGTACATAATGAAATGTGAAACTTACTGTTTTTCCTCTCAGCACTTTATAGTGAGAAACCAGAAATAGATCTGAATTCTAATTTTTACATTAGTATGCTGGAGCTCTCTGAAAAGCTTCAAGGTAATTAAAAACCTGCTGCTGCAAAGATCAGATACGTGTGTTACAAATACTAAAGTTTAAGATTCTTCTTTATGGATATAATGCTTAAACTGGATTGTGGCTGAGGAAGGAATTGGTCATCTTTGCTCTCACCCTATTTTTAGTATTTAAAAAAGAAGCAGTCCTGTTAAAAGTAATTTTAATATCAATAACCTGGGTAAATATATACTTTTATGTGCTTATATAAATATCTGTTTGGTCTTAAATGTAAACATAAGAAGAAAGCATTTAAGGCTGAAGATTAGATCACAAAATGTCAGCAGGTTTTTAAAATCTATGCATGGTTTACTTGCACTGCTATATTCCCTAGTTTTGGAGGACCAACTTTGATATACATAGCGTCTGTTCACTAATCCCCCTTTCATCTGCATTTGAATGTCAGTATTGCATATAAATACTATTCTGTTTAACCCTTTAAATCTAGATAAAGTTTTATTTCAGGATGATGAACACAATCCCAAAAAAAAAAGAATATCTTTACAACGTGATATTGGTATGGTTAATTATAAAATTTCGTTTTTTGTGAAAAACAAGCTTTAACTGGTAGATCAAGTGTATAGATGTACAAAGCTTTTGTTTTACTTAGTGAAAAGTTAAAGCAACAGTGTGTAATTTTTAGCGACATCTAACGTCCAGACTGCAGACCGCAGCAACATGAACATCTCCCCCCCACCGCTTCTCCCCCCCCAACAGTACGGCGAGCGTTACGGGACAAAATGTCTTCCACGACGTCCGCATCACCTACCTTCTGTAATGAGGTTTGTTTACATAGATAATTTTACAGATAGTATTCTCAGGCATAATACTGCCATCTATTGTTCAGTACCGTCTCAGTTCATCTCTCTCAACTTGCCGTAGTTACTTTCGAGCGTAATGGGCGATCTCGCAATCGCTAGTTTGTTGGCTCTGCGCTGCCGTAGCGCAAAGATGTCTTCCTCCATGGCTGCGAGACCCGCTCCTATGTAATTATAAATAACAAATTCTAAGGCAACGCAAATATTAAGGTTAAGAGGCTGAGCTCGTAGATGATGATAAATAACATAGTTATGTATAATATATTACATTTCTGACTTTATATCCCTGTAATTATTACACACTGTAGCTTTAAGTCTTGAAATAAGAAATGAAGTGTTCTAGATAGTTTATAGTTTAACTTTCCCTCCATATCTATTTTTTGCATGAAGAAATATAGCTGAAAAAAATAAACTTCTGATTTTATTAATAACAAACTGAATAATACGAGGGGCGTTCAAAAAGTAATGCCCCTGACCCACTTCCAGATGTTTGATCAACCTGAAATTTTGCATGTGAAATTATTGACATCTGTATAGATTAAATGGCAAATAACAGATCTGAACTAATTGTGGTTTCTGATTTACAGGTGTTCAAACTGAGTTAAGTCTGTGTTTTTGTATTTGAAAGGACGAACACAACAGGGGACTTTTGATCAAATGAAAGTAACTTATAGTGCTAATGTCCCACAATATAACCTTCTAAAACATTTTGCTAGGTCATATACAGTAACAGGCATCATCACCATAAGTTACTTTAATTTCATCAAAAGTCTCCCGTGGTGTGAGTCCTTTCAAATAGAAAAACCGGATCACTGCTCGACACTCAACAGGCTCCATTTCAGACTTTACTCAGTTTAAACACCTGGAAGTCAGAAACCACAAATAGTTCAGAGCTGTAATTTGCTACTTAATCTATAGAGATTTAACTAACACCACATGCAAAATTTCAGCTAGATCAAACATCTGGAAGTGGGTCAGGGGCATTACTTATTGAATGCCCCTTGTACTAAGAGCCAATTTCATATGTGCCACCCATCAATCATACAGTAATATGGTAGTACTGCTTTACTGTAGATCTAGCTAATGATGACATGTACAATGAGCTGCCAATGCTGGGCTCTATCTGAACAGAAAGCTTGATTAATTAAACAGGTTCTTCAGCTTGTGCTATTTTAGAAAGATGAAACAATAGAAAAAGGGTAGCAAAAGCATAATCTGTGGGCATATAAGTTATTTTTTTTCAATGACTAGTCATTAAGTAGCAATTATTTATCTATTTTTTATTAAGTGTTTGCATTAAAAACAAATAAAATATGGTTTGTAAGATTATATAACATGTAAATAAAATGTTGGATTATTAAAACAGCAAGGGAAATTGAGAAATTTAATAAACTAAAGCCAAAATTGCAATTCCTTTTTTGGAGTTTTTACTGAGGGTTATACATCAATTTTACACAGGTTCCTTCAATAGCAGATGTCAGCTGTACGAAATACTAAAATATTTTGTTAAATATGAGACATATGGCAAAAACCTTACTGATTGTAATTATTTTTCAACATTTCTTGTAATATTTCTTTCTTTTTAATTAACAATTATCATGTACACCAGTAAGCAATATTAGTAGCATTACAATGGATAGAGGAAGTGAGACCATTAAGATCCATTATGTGTTCAGATCCGAGTTCAGCTTTAATCACTATACAAAATCAGATTTCGGAAAGTAGATCAGACATTTTAATTGAAATACAGCAAGTTTTATATAAATTTCAAATGATAGGTATTAGTGTTATATTTATTTGGGTGCCAGCACATATAGGGATCAAAGGAAATTAAATTGCATACAAGATTGCTAAGGAAGCATCACAAATTAAAAACACTGATATGATGATTAACTTAAGTAAGACAGAAATTAAAAGTATGATTAAACAAAAGATGAAGGAAAGGTGGCAAAAACAATGGGAAGAAGAAAGGAGAGGAAGATGGTTTTATAGGATTCAACGGAAATTCAGAGGATAGCAGAAGGAAGGGTTAGAAGAGAGGAAAGAGTTATTTCAAGGACATACAGGATTAAAAAATACACTATTCAAAATAGGTAAACATATGTCAGACAAATGTGAATATTGTGGATAAGATGAGTAGTAGTAGAGCATGTAGTGATGTGTTTTAAGAAGAATGAAGAAGAGAGAAAAAATTTGGTTAGAGACTCAAATAAGGAGAAAGTTAAATTTGATTGATAGATATTCTGCACAAAAAGTAAAAAAATATATATACATATTTATTTAAATATTTTATAACAGGGATATTAATGAGGATTTAATATTTTTAAAGCAATATTATAGATATAGATATATAGATAAATAAATAAATAGAAGTATCTTTATGAATAGCGCCATTCTGATCCATACTCCTCACCAGTTGATGGCGGTAATGAGCACCGAAAAGTTGTTTTCCAACCGCCAATAAACGCAACAAGACAATTATCACCAGTAGGAGGTAGTAGAGAGTCGTAACACTACCAGAAGGAAAAGAAGAAGAATTAAAAAGGAACTAGAAGAAGAAGACGCTTGCATTCTGATGTCTTTTCAACATAAACCATAGCTATTTAGCTTCCAGTCACAGACTCTAGTTTGTTGTTTTTTTTTAATATGCTGAAAAAGAAAGGAAGTGGTTCGGAGAAGAAAAGGAAACACTCGCACTCTGAGGAGCGACAGAGCAGCAACAACAAGCGCCGTAGCTCAGAGTCCCAGTTAGAGGTAAACCACTGAGCTTAGCTCCTTAAACTGATGATCACTCAACTATGGATAAAGTCTGCTGATAATATCATGTTATATTCTGTCTGCTCAGCTAGTCTCTTTGTTTCTATCCACATCATACTGATTGATTTCTGTTTAAATGCTGCTGAAGCTGCTTTAACGTGTGTCTTGACTTTATTGTCATTTTGTTCGCACACAGTGTATACAAAACTCCCTTCCAAAAATCTAGCAACAGTGAAATGAACTTTACCATTATAGAATGCAGCAGTTATCTGAATGTAAACAGTAGGAGAAAAGAAACTATTTTAAAAATAATGGTGCAAAAGGGCATTAATATGGAAAGGTTTAGTGCAGTGGGAAATAAACAAGGTTCTATCCTGGGACAGCTGCCCAGATCCCCACTAAAAACTTCAGTGTTTTGTGTTTTTTGGAAGGTTTTATTTCCAGCTAAATAGCTGTTTGAGCCTATTAAGAATTAGATTAATTAATTTATTGTTTTGCTAAATTATTAATGTTAAAGATTTAAGGTTGTGTGAATGGTAGAGCTATTGTTTATTTGTTTATGTATTGGTTTTGCTTTGACCCTCCTCCTTGTCAGTCTGCCTCCTGCAGAGATTAACAAGTAGAAGCAGCTGATGAGGTGGATGTGATTGTTTAAGTGAGGAGTGCAACAGTTTTTCCACACACATCACTTAACGTTTAGACTTGAATATTTTGTAAGTCAGCTCTGAGAATATTTCAGTTATTTTTTATAAGTAAAGAAAACACCCCTTTTTGAAACAAGAAAAATCTCTACGAGTGCTTTTTGTTTTGTGAGTCGAAAAAACTTTCTCCTAAGATTACTCTGGCAATTTTTGATTTTTTTTGGGAAACTATTTTGATGCAAGAGTAGCCGTAACAATAGCTGTAAAGCTAAATACTGATCCATTGTCAGTCTTTTCCAGCCTCCAGATGTAGCCTGGGTTTTCAGCTTTCCTGTTTATATATATTGAAATAATAAGTATAGTTATTACAACTAAATTGCAATAATAATAATCAACCTTTATTATATATATATATATATTAATATATATATATATATGTGTGTCATATTGGAGAAATTTAACCTATCCCCTTAGGGAGCAGTGGGCTGCCAATGTGTTGGTTTAAGGGTTTTTTCTCTCAGGAACCCATAGTGCAGGCTGTGGGGATCAAACCATCTACATAGAACCTTCTCAGAGCACAAGAGAACTGCTCTAATCACTAGGCCAACACTCCTCCTCAATGTTTTTGCTGTGGGTATTGTGAGTTACTTCTGATTTCAGTGTTTGGTTTCCACAGGTGAGCACAGTACTAAGAAACTATACTCAAGTGAGATTAAAACTACTGAAATATATGTAAAAGTATTCATTAAAATAAATGACTAGGGTAAGAATTAAAAGTATTTCGTACAAAGGCTACTTGAGTAATCAATAATTGTTTGATCATGTTATGATGCATTGATTATGTCATTACAAGGACTGTAATGTGGAAATGAAAGAAAATTTATAAGATGACTTTTCCCAAATATTTTTTTTGGTCTTATTTAGTTTTTGTCTAACATAAACTTCATGAAACCAAGCTTTACAGGCTTTACACTGGCAATTTGTATATTTATGTATTTATTTGTAATTGCCTGATCTTTGATTAGCTCAAGTTACTCACAGTTGGAAGAGTAGCAAGAAAACACAGTAATTCTACTCCTAGAAGTGAAATATTTTTCAAAAGTTATTTGAGTCAAAGTAGCCAAGAAGTTAGATTTTTGTCTGGTCTGTTCTCCGCATGTTAGCTTTCTCCCCTACATGGATTTTGGCAAACATTAAGCAGGAGTTTGTATTGCCCTTTCCCATCAATGGGTTTCACCTCTAGTATAGCAAATAAATGAATGTCCGGTCATGCTGGGGAATTTCACATTAGTATTATGATTGAAATGGATTAGGTTAAGAAAACAAAGGGGCAGGGAAAGTTTTTTTTTTTTAAGTTTTAAGTACCCTAATCATTTTATTTCAGTCTGTAGTTTTTAGAAACAGAAAAACAGAGATAAAATGAAAAAGTTGTTTGTTCTGTTTCCTAATGTCTTATGTTTCCAACCACTTACCCCTTTAAGATTTTGCTAAAACAAGACCTAAACCCTTAAAATAAAAAATAAAATAAAAATGTCAGTAACCTTTAGAGCCATATGTCTGGAAAGAGCTAACTCAAATCGAACCTTCAGGATGTAGCTGGAGCCCATCATAGCAAAAAAATAATAATAAAATAAGTAAATCCTCTACAAGTTTTCCCAATCTTTCAGGACTCCAAAGATGAACTCGCTGACCCTGAGCTGGACCGTGTTGGCAGTGACATCGAGGAAGGGGGACTGGACCTCAGCGTGCCCTTTCAGCCCATCAAGGCCTACATCAGCAACAAGCGTGAGATGCTGGAGCAGTGTTTCCATGTGTTAGGGGAGAAGAAGGTGCGAAAGATGCTGCCCGATGAGCTCAAGGTGATTTTGTTTAAGGTTTTGTTTACAGAAGTGCAACAATTTTAAAATCAAGACTTAATTCTGTACTCCATTTTTATCAATAGGAGTGCAGTTTAGAAGAAATTAAAACACTTTGTTGGGAGCAGCTGGAGCCCATCTCAGAAAGAAACCTCACTCAAATTTTAGCAGGTAAGATTTAAGACCCATTAAACAAATATTAGTAAAAATGTACGGTGCCTTGTGATTATACACAAAGCTGTGTTCCTCCAGGGGAAGAAATAACAGCTGGAAGCAATGATGGAGGGACTTTAGAGAGCCAGTGAGCAGCCCTTTATCCTATTTAAATCACAAGTTTAAAGGTAAAGAGCTTTTTCTTCATTGCATATGGTTAATCCACTTTTTTTTTTTAATCTTACAGACAGGATAATATTGTTGACTCTACGTCTTGCTTGAAAGAAACGACTAAAACCGATGAGGCAAAGCAAGGTAACTTCTTTGAATTTACAGGGAAAGATATTCTCCATACATTTAAAGATAAGAACTGTAAAAGTGATTTAAATTCCCTTGAACAGAAGGTGCAGGCTCCGGCGAGGAGAGCGACGTACTGAGCATAAACGCAGACACTTATGACAGCGACATCGAGGGGCCAAAAGAGGAGCAGGCTGTCAAAGCTGATGAGGTGGCCGCCAAGGGCAGCGAAGAACGATCTGACGCAGCCTCCATTAACTCCGAATTGGCAGCTCCTGATGCAAAGAAGGACATTCAGAATGACATAGACAAAAGCGTCAGTGAAATCTTAGCCCTGTCTTGTACTTCAAGGAAAGAGGAAGCTGTAGAGCCGAGCGACGGGAAGACGCAGCCTGCAGGTGTAGATGCAGCCGTTCAAGGTGAAGCCACAGTTTGTTCACCATCAGTTCAACAGCTGGAGCTGCTGGAGTTGGAGATGAGAGCGAGAGCCATAAAGGCTCTAATGAAGGCTGGTGACAAAAAGAAACTTTGTATGACAAACATTTAGCTTATTTTTTATGAAGTGTTTGGTTCTATTTAAGCATTTCTGTTAATGTTTGAGTCACAACTACACTGTTAGGTTGTTTTTTGTATTTGATGAATTTTGGATGACTGTAATTAAAACTTTATTTGTCTGCATACTGCAGTTATCGCCTTATTTGAATGTTTTATAGCTCATTAAAGTGATGATTTAAATGCTTTGTGGGAGGAGAGTTCCTGAGCCCTGAAAAAAAAGGTCTGAAATAAGTTTCACAGATTTTATGAGCCTGAATTTTTATGGTAAAAGACAATTTAAGTATGGAATAATACTGGTATTTCAAGATTGTAATCCTGCATGCTGTTGTGTTTATATGCATTACATTATAGCAATTTCCTTCGTTCTGGCATTATTCCTTTGCTTCATTCTTCTTTATTCTCTCTTACCCCCTCTTTCCATTCTTTTTATTTTTCCTATTATTTTGTCAGCCCTTCCTCCTTTTCTACTTTAAATTCACCCATCAAAGCTTATGTCCTAAATACAATCCAATTTTCTTCTTTCTCCCTGCTTTCCTTTGTCCTTGTTTTTCATTTCTTTGCCTTCTTTCCTCTCCTCTTTCCTTCTTTCGCTTGTTTCTTATTTAATATTAGTTATATCATTCCTTGTCAATTTTTTCCTCCCTAACCCGTCCTTATCTATTGCTCTTTTTTTATTTTTCATTCTTTCCCTCCTTTAAACATTCCTCACTCTTCTTACCTTTGTTTTATAATTTCATATCTAGCTTTCTTTCCATCTTCTCCATTTCCTTCTTATTCAATATATAGTTAACTTTCACATTCATACTTTAAAAAAGATATTGTAAATTACTCACATTTCAGTATGAAGAAGTATGGATTATCAACATGAAATGATGTTACCCTTTACAGTCACAAGATGGCAGTGTCACCCTCCTCTAGATCTGTAGAGGACTGCCAGTGTATAGATTTACCTGGCTCATGTTACAGTGGCACTGCAGCTCCCATTTAGCCACCCTTCCAACTAACAATGGCTGAATCAAATGAAGCAGGGTTCCATCTGTAGCAGCATTTAGACCCTGGTGAACATTTTCACACTTAAATAAACAGACTGCTGTCTTCTAAGAGTGAGTTTAAGTTTTATTGCCAATCAACCCTAACACCTAAAGGACAAAATCTGACCATACGTTAAAAATGTGACCCCTCTCAGTTTAATCCAATCTTCTAAAAAACTCTTTCATCCCAAAGGTTTTTTTTTTTTTTTTAGTTAGATTTGCTTTGAATATCAGTCCTTCAGTGTTTACATAAGGGAAGCTGCATGTCTCTGCACCCTGCCACCGCCCCTCCAGCAGTCAATGAAATGTGCAATAAGAACCCTGATGCGTCTTTCAAGCTATTTGCATTTAAAAGGTTTATTTCATGGTAGAGGCAAGGGTAGGAGGGTTTAATGTGTCATTTTCTCTGTATTTATACAAAGTCTTAGTGCTCCCTACTGATAGAAAAAAGAAAAACAGTCTCTTTTGGTGAAGATGCTGAGATGCTTGTTGTGTCTGCGACTGGCGTCATTTTAGCACCATTAGAGGGCCAATTATGATCCCTTTGGTATGAATAAAACATCTGTTAAAGTCAACCTCAGAACAAGCTTACAGGCTAAAAACAAGTTTCAGATACTTTCTAAATTGAATAAACCCCATGATCTGAGTTCAAATATTGAACTGCAACATTTCCAAAGTGAAAACAAGGTCAGGTTATAATCTGTTTTAACCTTTGGTTTAAAGAGGCATTCAGACCAAAGCAATGTGACAGCAAAGATCTTTTTTTTTTTTTACCAATGAGAGAATGAATAACCTATTTAAATGTTTAATTTTACAGATCTGAAATATAGAATGCACCTCTTAAGGCAGGTCTTTATTCCAACAAGGCATACTCTTAATTTATATGGCATTTCTGAAATAACACAACCTAAACTACTAATCTTGTTATTAACTGACAGAAATCTGGAGCATGAAGACGAAGAAGGATGAACATTTCTAAGTAAATTATTCTGAGCTTGAGTAAATTAGACTTAAATGCCCAAAAAATAACGTTTGCCCTAAAAAAATAAATAAAAAAAAATCCCAGATTTTTACATACAGAACTTCTCACTGTTCCTGTGACAAATGAAATAAACATAATAAACTGCAAATACAACTTGGTTACATATGTAGCAAGTTTGGTGTCCATCTAACCAGCAGCTAGGAGGTTATAGATGTTTAGTTTGAAATAAATTCAGGTGAACTCCTACTGTGCCATTTTGGAGCAGTTTGGCTTAGTATATGAGACTTATAATTTATTCTTGAAATTAAAATTTTGGAATGCTATTATATACCAGGTTATAATAATAATAATACCTTTTATTTAACAGCACATTTCTGGACACTCAAAGTCACTTTAGAGAAATTAAAAATGAAAATACAAAAATACAAATAATTATACAAATAAAGTTTTCCTACCAAAAGTTTTATTTTTTCAGCTCTCTACTTGCAGGCTGTGATTTCACCCTATATAGCAACTTCAAGGTATAGTGGAGGATTATGACGAATTTTCGAAAAGATCCGCCCTTTCCACTTAAAAAAAAAAATGCACATGCACAACCCTGTACCGCTCACGGGAGGGAATGCCTATTAAACGGGTGCAACAGCGTGCACAAGGCCATTTCTCCTCGTGCACGCTCTGTTTAAAAGTTGCTGTTTGTATCACTCATACAAGCCAACTTTCCAAAAGAAGATTTGCAGTTTTTCCACCATGTCAAACGGGTAATTGAAAATGGCAACGAGCACGTAGGGCGGCCTTATGTAAACATTTCACCAGAATCATTGACAAATAGAAGGATCACTTATTTAGTTGATCCACGCAGAAGAAGAACATTTTCCACTGTATCTTTAAGTAGAAAAAAAAAAATGCCAGAAGAAGCACGGGCAGATTGAAATGACCCTTTGTCCAATCAGGGAGTTTCATAGCCTTTGAAAAGGTCATATTTAAAAAAATCTAAAGATATGCAGCAATTTGAGATAAGACACAGCACCAGCGAATCACAGGCAAGGGTAGTAGACATCTTTATGATTTATATGCAGATCAAGTTTCCAAATATGGGTTTGCTGCTTTACCCTAATACAGAGAGAAGAAACTTTTAGCTGAAAATAACTGAATCAGTTGGATATATTCCATAAACTGACTTTTATTCCGATGCAAATACCTTTTAATGAAAAGAACAGTAAAGTTAGGATAGATTTTATGTGCTTTGGTTGGTGTTCCTGGTGTTTTTGGGGGATATTTTGAGTGGTCCGCTGCAAATGATCAGTTTTGCTAATGAGTTTGACTTTGGCCAATTCAGTCTTGTTGGCTTTTATTAGCAAGGCATCGTTGGGCGCCTCTACGTCTGTTGTTGCTTATTGCTTTTTGGTAGTGATGGTGAGATGAAGCCTCAAGAGCCATTAAACCGTTTGGTTAAATTGCTTCAATTAGCCACTCAGTTCATTGATCTTCAAGTGAACGTGTCACCACCTAATGGCACATTGCATAACTATAGTCAACAATATTATCTTGGATGTTTGCAATTGTTTTTCTTTTTTTTATTTATTTATTTTTTTTCTTATTTGAGTTCCATAAAAAAAAAATTACGATTGGTGTGTATAATGAAATATTTTGTAAGCGTTTCTGTGTATGATTTCTTAGAAAAGAATAATGTTTTAAGGTTAACTGTTTTTGCTTCATTTTAGTGACATAAGCTGAAGCAGACAGTGAAAGTGCAACTTGGGAAATGATGAGAAAAATAAAATGTGTTAGTCTTTTTTATTCAAAAATAATAGTTTTTTCAGTTTTTGGTTTTAATCTTATTGGATGTTATGTGTCCAACCAGTCTAATTTTGTAGTATTTTTACAAAATCTATATTGGAAAAAGGGCAAGCCAATACAAATTGTTCATTTTGACCAAATTACAAGTTAAGTACTATAGCAACTTTTAAAAGCCAAGTCTGGGTCTCAAATCAAAACTCTATACTTGGTCAGTTTCTGAGCATTATATTGTCTAATGTAACCAAAATAGTTTAACCAACAACATTGGTTGTTTTCTCAACCAATCTATTAGAGTATATCCAAACTCCATCCAAACACTCAACTGACCACAACTCTCCTCCAAGCGCCCACATCTTGATCTAATACTGAGGCTGTTTAAATGCCTGTAAATGTTTTCGGGCGATCTGAACCACTTCCCGAAGCGGTCACTTGTTATAGCGGTAGCGAGGCTTCGGACGTCATCGATTTAAGCTCCTCCCCTACATGAAGCCAGTTAGACTTAAACAACTTTTATTGTCATTTTATATACACAGAATGTATACGAAATGAAATTTATTTTAGTACAGCCTTCAGAGAGTAAATTAATCAAATTTCCATTCCATAAATTGCAGCAGTGATCAAACGTAAACAGTGAGGGAGAAAAAAAAAACATGGTGCAAAAAACGCATTGATATGGAAGTACAGCATTAATATATATTGTGCAACACATTGAGATGGGAGTTCAGCATTAATATATATGGGGCAAATGTGCAGTGTTTTCGGTTTGGTGTTATCAGTGTGTTGCAGGGTTTGTGACATGATTTTGAGTTTTTTTCAACAGTTCAACAGTCTGATGGCAGTGTGGAAGTAGCTGTTGCAGAATCTGCTGGGCCTGCATCGGATGCTGCAAAGCCTCTTCCCAGAGCGCAGCAGGGAGAACAGTCCATGGTGGGGGTTTGAGGGGTCATTGATGATGTTACAAGCTCGGGACACGCAGCGCTGGGATGAAATGTCTTTTATGGAGGGAAGAGGAGCCCCGATGATCCTCTCTGCTGTTCACACCACTCTTCTCACGTTCTTCCAGCCAGAGGCGCTACAGCCTCCACACCACCAATATAATATACTTTATATAAACTTTCACATTTTAATAAAAAAAACAAAACAGTAATAGTTCTCAAATATAAAATGTAACAAGCTTAGGCATAAACGAGAGGAACATTAGTGTGAGAGTGAATACAGAGATCAAATAGGCAAGAAGCCCAGTTAAGACAACTGCAATCCTCTACTCTATAACCACAGCTCTGCAACATTTACATCATCCGTAGCTGTTCAGA